GTCCACCACTACTGATGGGGCCAAAGCTTGGTCCTAAGATGGTGAATCCAGTTCTTCAGGATTAGGGGAGAAGCTAAGGTGTGAATGAAGGTTTGGTTAATGTCAAGGTTAGGAAAAAAATGTCAGTGTTGGCCATAAGTGCGGTGACTAAAATGAATGCAAGTCAATACAAAGTCTTAATGTGAAGAGGAATACAAACTTGTGTGTGATGAGACCGCATCCTCACACAGACGCGTCCCTATGTGAGCAGTCCGTCTCGCACCGTGACAAGTGTTTGTCAGCTGAACGCCTGCAGTTTGCATGTAAATTCATTCAAATAGCACTGCTGTGTGGGCTCCACACTCACAGTGCGATCTGCACAGGTATGGTCACATCATGACTTGAAAATGCCAGTGATGTCAGGCTTCTGCAGCCTTCTGCATCCATAAGAGGAGACGCTGATCACTACAGCCTGCCTATCTAAGGGAAATTACATGTAAACATAGCAGGGTTTTGTGTGTTTGCTGCCATCGTTCTGAATCTAATCAGGACTGTGGATGAAACTATTTGCATATCGGTAGTGGCAATATTGCTCTTGGTCAGTTTAATGGTTCCTTCTATGAAGAATTGAGATAACAGAGTTCAGACTCTGGTTGTGACTGTCAGACTCAGTCATTTCAAACACATCACAGTTGTCTTAGTCAAGAAGATGATGCATATATAAACATTATTACATGCATACATAAAAAAAAATCAACTGGTTTTACTTACATGTTGCCTCTTTCACACACCTGTGCCTCTAGTCTTCATGCTGCATGTCCATCAGTCATCCCTCCACACACACCTGTGTGTCCTGTGTCATGCTCACACACTGCAGGTGAGAAAGCAAAATGAGCACAGGCATCCAGACGAGCTCACCAGACACTCCTTCTCTCCTCTCTTTCTTTCTCTCTCTCTCTTCCCTCCTACTCACTTTTACATTTTTGCACTCCCACTCTGCTCACTCACTCAGTCCTGTTAACCTTTCTCAGACAGATTCCCCATCTCTTGCTCTCTTTCTTTCTCAGTCTCTCCCGTCTGAACTTGCTCACCCTGTTGCTCTTGAGCCTCTCCTCCGTTCGCAATCAACCCTTCTGTTCTTCGCCGTTGCTGCACGCTCCACGCCGTGCTGTTGTCGGGTGTATAATTAGAGATGAGAGTGTTGTGCAACTCCTCGGCTGATGGTAGGCGTATGATTGCCTGATGGCATTGGCGTTGCGCCCTGTTCAGTAAGTTGCTTCAGACTGGGGTGGACACCAACATTCACAAAAAGAAAAAAGAAACGGTGTTTTTGTTCGATTGAACTCCCTTGAATCTTTGTGGCGTAGACGCAACAGACCATTGGAAACGTTTCTTTGAGATTTGTTTTACTCACAATCGCAAGATAGCATCTCTTCACATTCATGATTCAAATCTCCACTTACACTACATAACAAAGGTGCCTTGCTGGATGGAGATCTGGTGAGGCTTCTGGAGTAGAGTGAACTCACTGTCACGTTTTAGAAACCAGACAATCTGAGTGAGCTTTGTGACATGACTCATAATCCTGTCAGAAAATGAGCAAACTGTGGTCCGAAAGTGATGGAGACGGTCAGTGACAACACTCAACTAGACGGTTGTATCTTCTTGGCCCAATCGTGCCAAAAAGATAAAGTCCATACTGTCACACAAGTTTATGATGTAAAGGACTTGGAACTACCTTGTTGCTGAAATGTGTTGTGCAAATAAACTTGACTTGACTACACCACCTCCAGCTGTCTGACATAATGGTATCAATACTTTCATGTTGCTACACCAAATTCTGACCAAACCATCTGAATATTGAACCTGAAAAAGCTCAACTCCTTTCATCTCCATTCTGAAGCACGGTTTAAGGAACAGAGACTTCGTCATGCCTAAATGCATTGGGTTGGTGCAACATGGTTGCTGTGCGCGTTAAGAATCGCCAGAAAATCTCTACCCAACGAATTTGGTGTGTGATGACATTGACCTGCCGATCGTTTCTCCTGCTGTAACTCACTTCCTGCTTTTCTCTCTTTGGTGGGACTTCTGTGAATTAATATTGTTTCATGAGTGAATAAGTGAGAAAGTCCTTCAGACTGCTTTTGTTGAAATCACTGAAAGGTTGACATCAAAGACTCCAAACAAGCTGCAGTTAAAAAAAAAAAAGAAAAAACCCTGAAAGAAAACCCTTTCATGGCGGTGCAGGAAACTCGCTGTTTGTTTTATCTCGTAGAAGAAAGAGGACATGTCTTTTGCTCCGCCAGCCTCTGTCTCAGCTATTGATTTTGCAGGGCCTCAGCAGGTGAACCCCCAGTCATGAGAAAGCCCACGCACGATTTATTATGTGGTGAAGAGGATTTCTCACTTTGACTCACACCGTGCTTCCTCTGCCCACTCTCTCTTTCTGTGCCTCTTTTCTTCAGTTCTCTGGTTCTTGTCTACTGATGAACACACACACACACACACACACACAAGGTTGGTGGAGGTTCATGGCAATGGTGAGAGCTTGCATTGCATGCCTTTGCCACGATTAGCATATTTAGGCTGAACCACAGTAACCGGTGACATTTACAACCAATGTGTTTTTATTGATAGAAATCGCCAGTCACTCCCACCACTTCCCAACTGCTGCACAACAGCTTGTATTTGCAGTTTCACTTTGCAGCTTGGCACACAGACCAAAGTGAGAGTTTCACTAGTGATTCTTTATTTCCCTATGCTGTGGCAGGGACAGGTTTGTTGTTCTCATACCAGACAAAAGGAGCTTGTTTTATTTATCAATAAATACGTGGATTCTTCTGGGGATTCAGGAGGAACATATCCATAATGCCGTCATGTCGTGTATCTTCGTACTGATTCGTGTCGTTGCTCTCTCCTGCATTTACTCACAATTGCTATTTTTTCCTCCATGTAACTGAAACAAGACAGCATGACAGTTTCTCACTGATCTCAGTGCTGTGTTTTGGAAAAAGAAAGAAGAAAAAAAGAGAGAAGTATTTTCAAATATGAAGCTTAGAAATCCGTGAGTGGAAATTAGTCTGGAAATAACATCTTTTGTCCACTAGGTGGCGACAAGTGAGCAGTATGGGGTTTTTTTTTCTCTTGTTTTTACGGTTTTTTTACGTTTCTATCCGGGACCAAAAGTGCCACAATTTTTCACCAAGCTCTTTAAGTAAATTCATATTTGAAAATGTTATTAATCTATGACATTAATAGACTGAATAAATAAAATGATCATGATTGCTGAAATAATGTATTTTTGTAAGCTGAAACATTAATACAATTATTTACATTTGTACTGGATGCATGTTTAAAAGAATATAATTCCAAAAATAATACAACTGTGAATTATTTAAGCAATTATTTAACTGGTTCTATTACTCATCTTAATGTCTGTCGTTTAACCTGTGTTACTTAAAGACGTAGAAAACCGTGGTCTCTTTAGGACTTTGACATTTCATTAAAATAACTTTAAATCAGAAGAAGAAGCAGGATGACAAATTTCAGCTGTTTTGAAACTAACTTTTCAAAACTTTCCCATTCATTGATACTGGAACAAGTCTCTCTTGCTAGTTTTAACATAATAAGGTGGCTTCACCTGGTTCACCTGGTTCTAAAATGTTTTATAATATAACCACGGGTGTAAAAAAAACACATACCACAAACAAAATTAGCTGTTACACCCGAACTGTACTTCTTCAGACAAAATGGAAGCTTTAATATGAAGAAGCAAACATTCAAAATATTCTGAAAGTCATTAAAGATGTAGCATTGCTAAAGAGTTTAACCTCATAGGAGCCTTAAAATCAACTCTAAACACTGAGCTGCAATGTTTAAATTTACTCTTAAGAAGGGAAAAGAAGATGTTTTGAAAGCATCTGGACCGATCAGCTTCAGCACCAGTTCCACCAGGACCAAACTGGAAACAGAAACTCTCACTTGGTGTTTGTCAAGCTGTTGTTTCTACATTCCATTTTGGTTTAGCTGATGGGAAAATCTTCGCTTATGCAGTCGTTGTTTAGGCCGGCGGCTAAAGACAAACACAGTGTAGGGTAAAATTCATTAAATAAAACGGCTGCATCCAGAACCCGACCACCATGTTGGGTGACCAGCCCAACATTAAGAGACAGCCTTGTCTCTTAACTCTCTTAACTGAGTAAAGAGACAAGGCCTCTTAACACGGTTCATGTCGGGAGCCTAACTTTGAGAAATTCATATACAGTTTAAAAACCCTTGTTTGCATACTCCTGATAAAAAAAATACAACACTTCTGCAAATTTTCTTCACATTTTCTTCAAATTGAGAAGTTCTCCTCCTGTGTAATTAGCTAAGGTTTATTAGATCACACAAATCTTTTCAGTTGTGCTTGGGATTAAGATTAGGGCTTGGATTGTTGCACATTTGGAAACACCTTCTTCCTGACAGAGTGACCTCAGGGTGCAAATTATGAAACGACTCTCCTACCAGCATCTTTGTATTTTATCTAATCACTAGATGAGATTAATAGTTGTATCAGAACTGATTGATTTAATAAATAAACTAGATTATATAGATATTTTATGACCCAACAGCAGATTTGAATGTATGATAAAAGACTCTAGAGAAATATATCTACCAAGAAACAATAACAGAATTGTAAAAGTCATTTTTTCTGGGTTTCCCTCATAGTTCAAATGTTTTCTAACATTTAACTTCCCCACTTTTTTTTTAATGGAAACTAATAACAGTTATGAAACTGTGAAACATAATTCACTCAAGCAGATTCAATTTCAAAACACAAGCAAACAAGGAGAAGAAGAGGACAAAAAAGACAAATGGGGAGGTGAAGGAGAGGAAAGGAAAGGGGAGCAGAGACAAAAATAACAGAGGCATGTGTCTGTTCCTCCTTGGTATTTTCCACTCTGTTAAATAAATCCCTTCCTCCCTCCCTCCTCTCCCTGCTTTCCTTGCTCTCTTCCAGCTCCTCCTTCCTCCCCGTCATTGGTCAGCTGGCTGAATCCACAGAGCCACAAAGTTGTCCTCGCTCTCATCCAAGTGGCTCACGCTGCCCTCGGGGAGGAAGAAGAGAAGCAGGGAAGAAGGACCAGCAGGGAGGCGATCTATATCTGGACACTTTGGAGCGGCTGCAGAGAGCGGAGGAGGTGGGGGATGCGCGTCAGAATTTTGGTTCAACTCTGACAAGGCTGCCTGGTAGCGTCTCCTCACCCTGTCGACACGTCTGACTGATGGTTTTGTTTCCAACAACTTTCCCAGCATCATGAGCTCCTCATCAGCCAACCTTCAAAGCAAACGCCTACCTTGTAAGTTTCTTTTAAAAACTTCGGTTTGATCAGATTGAAGGTGTTAACCAAAATGTTCTGATTCTAAGAAAATTGTCTGGATGTTCCTGTGATTTTTTTTTTTTTTTTACCTTAGCCAATTGAAATGAACCACAAAAATGGAGTCTATAGGCTGCTGGGTTAAGACAACAACCTGACTGATTATTTTGTTAACCTAGCACTCGACCAAAATATGGGCAACACTGGATTAATTTACCATAACAGGGTTGGGTTATTGAGACACTCCACAATAAAAACAAAACTACATCTTGAGCAAACTATTAAAATTAGCTGCAACAAAATACAAAAAGTTGGTTCATTCAAGGTTTATTATGTTTTCAACCCAAGACCTTTGGTAAAAAAAAAGCACTATCCGATAACATAACCCAACCTCATGTTACACCACGCAGACGCTCAGTCTTCACTGAAGAAGATTAACTCGCTTGTATCTGTTAAACTTGCTGAATGAATCCAACAAAGAAGATTTGATTGCTCAGGGGGAGGAGACACTCATAAGGCATTCAAAATTTTTGCCACAAAAAATTTGTTGTTTTTTTAATTATTGGAAATAAATAAAACAAGAAGCTCACGTTATGGCAAACATATTCCACACCTGTCTGATGTAGTACAAGACAGTGAATTCTTCCAAATTCACAAACGTCACAAAACAGCAACGTATCAACAGGGAAACACAAAGTTCACTTTACTTTCTTTATTACATTTTTGACATTATGCGTGGGGCGATAAGTAAAAGAGAGTAATTTTATGTCAATTTTTAAATAAAGCAACTAAAAAAGTTGATTTGTTGAAACACATTTATGAGAAACATTAATACTACTTTGCGTACCTATATTGACTTTTTTATTATTCGACAATTGTTTGCTTTAATTAGGATTACTGAACATGATTAGCACTTGGTGCTAAAAGCCTAATGTCATGTTCAGTGAACAAACTGGTTCTCTTATGTAAATTAAAGTAATGAACATAATCCCCTGGCATTTATATTATTCCACTGCATTATTTTACCGCCTTAGCATTTTTTTCTGTCTTATCAGATTGTTGTATAGTTCAAAATGGTGTCCACCCCAATAATCTAGGTCACACTTCTTGACCCAAATTTTTGGTTAAACTTATCCCAACAGAGTAAAGCCAGCATTGGGGTAAAATAACAATTTTTGTCAAAAGTGCTTCTTTCATATATGTAAATAGATCTTAAAGTCATTTACAATAGCATTGCTGTCAAGACTAAGCTCCCTTTGTGCATCATGTTTTCATGGGAGCCAGTGTGACGGCTCAGCCGGTGTTTTAATAGCTGCCTTTGTGTTGACGTTCTCCAATGAACCTCAAGTGCCAAAAAATCTGAAAGGAATGTTGACTCACTACTCTAAGTCATATTCGGTACTACCAGATGAACAGGTCATACTATGTCAGGAACAAACGCACACACACATGCACGCACACACACATTGAGAGGTAAAGTTGGATTGGGATCAAAGCACAACTATAGACATAGATCTCTTCTTCCTAATGGGATTGCGGTTGCGAATCTCGTCAGAATCGACTCGCCGCAGCCTGTTTTCACAGATAAAGCGGCCCAGATAGGGCCTGAAACTGCATTAGTCCCAACGAGTACAGAGATTTCACGAGACTGAAATGGATCAGGGTTCTGGCTCTGGAGAAGGCGTCGCCCATCTGTCGTTGTGCCTGCTGTTCCCCGTGTATTCGGCTGCATCACGTTTTGATTTCTGTGTATGAGCCGGAGAGATCCGCCGTGCCGTGTTTGGATACCGCGCTGAGACGCGAGATGCTGCCTAATGAGCACAAAATAGAGGATGAAAACCTTCATGATAGCTAAGCGTAACTCTCCCAGATCACATTGAGGTGTTTGTTGCTGTGTTTTATGCTTTTTCTGTTTATGCATCACGCAGGAGATTAAGACTTGTGCAGCAGAAGTAAAAACATATATTGAACAAGCTACAAAGTCTTGCAAAAGTCATGTTACAGCCACTAACTTTGATGGATTTTATTGAAATGCTGGGTGATAATTGTAAAGTAGAAGGGCATATAAATCATTTCATAAAGATATAGCAGCAGAGATATGACATCAGGTCTGCTCTCACTCATAACCTATTTATTGCGGTTCCAATTAAGTTTTCTACATATGTGGAAAACTTTCAGAATACTGCATTAAAAGTAACACATTTTTTCCATGATGCTCAAAAAAAATTGCCTGTGCTAAAAGTGGGCAGGCCTCTCGTTCAGAACATAAGAACTGTTTTGTTTGATTCTTCTGGAAAATTATGATATATTTTCGAGAAACCGAAAGCAAGCTTTGAAATGAAGCTGCTTTACTTTTTCTAATCTAGCTGACAAAAGCCAGGTTAAATCACTTAAACCCACCTGGAGTTTTGTTTTCCAGGTCATTCTGAGCACAATGGGAAAATATTTTATTCTAAAGAAAATAAATGATAGTTGGCCTCTTCTTCCCAGCAAAGCCGAAGGACATATTTGTATTAATGATTGTTACAATAAAGATGACGTGGATCAATGCTTACATTATACCCTAATTGCTCTGCCGCAAGCAATGCCTTGTGATAATCGAGCGATTATTCAGTCACTGCGTGCAATTCTGCTTAGCAGGCGTGAATGAATGATTTAATAAGTTTAAATGAGAAGTTTAAACGTTGCTGCGCTGTGGATACACATCAGCTGCATCCATTATTCTACTCTAGGGTGTCCACAGTAAAAAGAAAGACAAGCAAAAAATATATATATATCTGGTAAGGTAAAGATCTGATGGATTAATCCAGGGTTAGCCATGATGTTTGACCACAAAGTTTAAACTTGATCACTACATTATTTTCCACTTGGGGTCATGAACAGTGTTGCACAAGGCCTTACCTTAAATTATGACGTAGTTTAATATTTGGACTCTGGTGGTAAATAAGGCCTTTTTTTTTATTTGTTCTTGAATGGTAAATTGTGATTAAATATTTTTTATGTCAACAACTTACCTAAATTTAAACTAAATACTTTAATGCAGGTGAACTCAGACACCAGTAGTTAGAAACAGGGCCGAGCTGAGGGTAAGCAGGGCCCCGGGCAGGATGTGACTTGTGTTTTGGTGTGTTCAACAAGCCTCATAACTGCTAAGACAGCAATGAATACCATATGTTGACTATATGACAGTGACGTGCATTAGTTGGACAATTTATTTATTTATTTATTTATTTATTGGGATTTTTTTTAAAATTATTTGATAAGTAGATTCTGTGAATAAATTTGAGATGGGTTTGTTTCTCTGCTTCACATTGTTTCAATTCAGACTACAGTAGTCTGTATTTGTTGGTTAAGAGTAAGGTGAAAATGTGACTCTACCTCAGAGACGACGTCCTTCTAACATAAAAAATAAAACTTTCATAGAAAACTGTCATATTTTTAAATTGTGAATTCATTTAAATGTAATATAATTTGTAATTTGAGGTAAAAACAAGTAAATAAAAAAAAAAACATCTGGAATCCTTTTAAATCAGATACTACAAAAGAAACTGAATTCTTAATAAACTTGACTGTAAACAACAACAACAACAGAGATCTGAAGCCGGGCTCACAGTGAGGGATTATCACAGTCTCTGTGGTTGTCCAGAGTGATCAGACATGCTGACTGCTGAATCAGCGCTTATATGACCAAACACTTGCTGCTGAAGTTAATAAGTGTCAGGAAAAAACCGTGAGTCACAAAACTAACGAAGGCTGCAGTAGGAGGAAAGATGACGACCTCCCAGGAGTTCTGGTTAAATCTGAAGCGACCTGGCCAGAGAGCACCGAGTAAAAGACTGAACGATCCTCTCAACTCATCACTTCCATCACCAAATCTTGTTCCTGACTGAGCGATGAAATAGATATGTCAGCTCAATCTTTCTGAGACTAAGACACAGTTTGCTAATTTCTTTATCAATCACTGTTACAAAAGTGTTTTTTTTTTTTTTTTGGCTGTTGTCTTAGTAAATTCCAATAAGTCGTGTTTTTCGATAACAATGTGAAACCTTCCAACTCCAAAATAAACAAAAATGAAAAAAATGTCTAAGTCATTGTGATTGGTTAAATAGAAAATTCCTCTCATTCTCCTGGTTTGTGTTAAAATAACTTTGAGCTGCTTCAAAAGTACAAGAAAAAGAAACAGCAGACACCAAAATATGCAACCCATGAAAACATGGTGGTGAGGGAATTTAAGAAAAGTTAAAGCCTTTTATACGTACATTGGCATGAAAACATTCCTGCTCACTTACAAATAAATTCTGCTGCTACTTTTTCTTTTTTATAAAGCAAACTTAAATGTTTCTGATAATAAGGCATATTTTGATGTTGGATAAAGATGATAAAACTAAGACCTGAGTACATACGCAGAGTCCAATGTTGAAATAATTATTTTCATGAATGGATAAAGGTACTTAAATCAACTAGGCTCAAATTGTTGAGCTATTTTTGCTACCATAAAAAGTTTGTGAAAACTTTTACATCACTGTTTTTTGTAGAATAGTTTTCATTAAACCTCCTAGCTCTCTTAGCTGTCTTCATTATTTCAGCAATGCTGCATATAAAATATTTCTTAATTCTGCAGTTCTTGCAGTCATCAGGTCTGGGTTGTAGCTTGTGAAATAGTAACTATTTTTTCACAATAGTGTTTTTCAGACACTTCCTCTGTTTTGGAGAAACCAGGCCTGTCACAATAACAAATTTTGCTGGACGATACATTGTCCCAGAAGTTATTGCGATAAACGATAATATTGCTTTTTGAGACCACTTTCAAGTAACTTAACTGAAAATGGCATAATATTGCAAGAAAATATTCTCAGAGATCAGTAGACTTTAAATTCTAATGAGCACTTAATAATGGAACTGGAAGACATTTTTAAACGTCCAAAATAAATAAACAAAACAACAGAAACAAGAAATATTGTCCATCAAAAAAAGGGACAAGT